GAATTTAAATGCTTATTCTATCATTTAGTAGCTGTAGAACTTGAACTAGATACTTTAGCTTCTCTATACCTCAGTAAGATGTAAGATGGAAACAGAATGTACCTCACAGCATTGTTGTGATAATTATTATTAGTTAATATAGGTAAAGAACTTAGAATTATACCTGACACACTGTGAGCTCCCAATAAATAAATATTAACAATTATTAGTATTATAATCATCAAATTGGATGGAATGGGAAAGATTACTTTTGTACAGAGGAAGTTACAGCCTTCTCTGACACTGGAGAAAACAAAGATTGGGTGCCATGATGGATAAATTTGTAAGTATGGAGGCAGAAGATCTGAGGAAATGTGAGACTCTTAAGTTTCATTTTCTCTGTAAAGTAATGACTATCTTTAGAAAGAGGGATGAAGGACAAAATAATTGAGGAAAATTCCCACTGTGGGCATTAGGAGAGGCTGTTGACCATAAAGATATAAAAGAACTATTGAGTAGGACTGACAGCTTGGCAGAAATCAGGGACCATAAACTGATCTGACTTTAATCATCAGGGCTTCAATTTTCTCCAGTACTGTTCAGAAGTTTGAGTGTAAAAATAGTCACAAGCTAAGTTAGATGTAATAAGGAGGAATATACCAACTCAGTAAGAAGAGCTCCCCAGGGAGGACAGGCTAGTCAATTATACTTATTCATCTAAGTGAGTGAATTTAATTTTCATGTTATTCCAATGAGTTTATCGGCATCCCATTTGGAAACCATACAAATGTTCATCAATTGATGTATAAATTAAAAAATTATAGTACAACCGTACAATAAACTATGACTCACGGATTTTAAAAGAAAATACTACTGACACACATCAGCCTACAAAATTATATACTGCATGATTGATAATTTTATATAAAATTCCAGAAAAGATAAAACTATAGTACAGGAAACAGATCAGTGGCATATGGCTGGTGGTAGACAGACAGTAAGTTTAGTTAATATCTACCACCACATATAATAACAAATTTTATTCTTGATGAGATGAGGAAACTTTTAAGAGATGATGAAATAGTGCTATACCACAATTGTGGCAGTGGTTAAATGACATTTGTCAATACTCATTGAGATCTCACTTAACAGTGATAAATTTCATTATATTACATTATATCTTAATAAAACCAATTTATAAAAAAAGTTTTCTTTTGAAGACTTGGGTATATTCTACTATCAACTGCTATAGACAACATTTAAAAGTTTAAAAGTAGCCCTTTCACCTAGCCTAGTCTTCTGTCCCTACAGGTAGTCTCTAAAATTAAAGGCAAAGGGAGTGTGGAAGGCAGAACTTTAAGAAGATTCCCAAGGTTTCTTGCCATCCCTCCCCATCCACCAGGTTTACAAACCTTACATAAACCCTAGGAGTGTATGTATAATGGATTTTACCCACATAAATTAGGCAATGTTAAACAGGATGACTGACATTAAAACAGGGAGATTATCCAGTGAGCCTGACCAAATCACATGAAGCCTTTAAAAGCAGAGTTTTCTCTTGCTGGTTGTAGAAGTAGCAGTCAGGAGTTTGAAACATGAGTGAGGTTTCATGCAGACAAAAAAGATATTTGATGCAGAGGTTCTAATCTATCTAGCTAGTAGAAGTTCTCTTAAGGAGCAAAAGCAGTACTTGAAGAAATATTATCTGAGAATATCCAGAATTGAATATAAGTATACTCAGATTGAAAACATCCAGTTAGAACCTGAGTTAGGTTAATGAAAAAAACAATTAATAAATATTCAAGTGAAATCTCAGAATATCAAGAATAGAAAAATAGTCCTAAAAGATATCAGAGAGAAAAAAATAATCCCCTAAAAAGGAACATGAACCAGAACATGATCATATGTCTCATTATCAACAATGAAAGAAAGACAGTAAGCCAGTATCTTCAAAGTGGTATGGAAAATAATTTCAAACTTAGATTTCTTTATCCAGCCCCATTAGCATTCAAGACTTTTGACTGTGGTCATGATCAGATCTACCTTCCTACCTTGAACAACTAAAAGTCTGGACAAAATAAATGAAACCGGTTTATCAAACACTCAACAACAGACAGCACAAGACAAGTAACAAGTTAGATAAGCCTAACAACTGCCCAATTTATTGCCTGGCAAGATTTTCTAGGCTGCAGCACAGGTCCCCAGACAGAGTTTAGCAGTTTCCCTGAGTTAAGGAAACTGCAGTCAGAGTGAGGGAAGTTGAAGATCACTAACATTTGGAGGATGGAGTACCAAAGAACAGGGATCTGAACAGAAATGAATAGTGAAGATTTGTGGAGGGTTTCCTCTGAGTTTCCTGCTAAGTGACAATTAGCCTAATGTCAACAATATCTCAGGCTCACTTAGGGCTGGGAATATTTTATTCTTCCAACAGCCAGAGTGGAAAGACGTCCAAATGACAGGGCACTGAGTACTCAGGAGTACTGCCTCAGCAACGGACCAAATCAGTTCTAGACTGAAGGTTGTTCTGGACCTGCCCAGCAAAGCTTAGAAGCAAGCCTTGAGAGCCTCAAACTATTTCCATGTAACTTAATTGCATTCCAGGATAAAACCTCAATATATTAAAGATAAAATACACAATGCCTAGTGTCCAATTACAAATTATCAGGTATATAAAGAAGCAGAAAAAGATGATTCAAATGAAGAGAAAAATCAGTCAACAAACAGACTCAGAAATGATACAGATAACAGGATTAGTACACAAGGTCATTAAAACAGCTCTCATAATTATATTCCATATGTTCAAAAAGGCAGAGAAAAGCGTAGCTATTAAAAAGAGAGACATGAAAAGTGTAAAAATTAACTAAATACATTGTGAGATAAAATATTCAGTATCTGAGATAAAAATATTTATTTATTTATTTATTTATTTATTTATTTATTTATTTTTTAATCCTCACCCGAGGACATTTTTCGATATTTTGTTCAGATAGAGTGAGAGAGAGAGAGAGAGAGAGAAACATCGACGTGAAAGCGACACATCGAGTGGTTGCCACCCACACGACCCAACCAGGGCCGGGGACAAACTGCAACCAAGGTACATGCCCTTAGCGGGAACCGAACCTGGGTCTCTCCGGACCGTAGGCCGACGCTCTAACCGCTGAGCCAAACCGGCCAGGGCTGAGATAAAAATATTTAATAGTTGGATGGAATTAACAGATTACACAAAGTGGAAGAAAAATTAATGCACTACAAGATATAGTAATAGAAGCTATCCAAAATAAAACATAAGAAAGAGTGAAAACAATTGAACAGAACATAGTTGTTGAGAGAACATCACATGGTGTAATATATGGGCACTGAGAATCCTAGAAGAAAAAAGAGAGAGAACAAAAAAAAAATTTTTTGAAGAAATAATTACTGAAAATTTTCCAAATTTGATAAAAAGTATAAACCTTTAAGATCCAGGAAGTTCCATGAACCCCAACAAAATAAACATGAAGTGTACACCAATATACAGCACACCAAATTGCTTCCAGTGATAAAGAAAGAATGTTTAAAGCTATCAGAGAAAAAACATTACATATAGAGAAAAAGATAAGAATGACAGCAGACTTCTTGTCAGAAGCAGACACATCAGGCGATAAGTGGAGAGATACTTTTAAAGTACCGAAAGAAAAAAAACTTTCAAACTATAATACTATGTCCAACAAAAAATATTTTTCAAAAAGGCAGCAAAATACTTTTTCAGACACACAAATGCTGAGTAAATTCACCAGCAGACCACCACTACAAATTATCATTTAACTTTTTTTTCTTTTATTGATTTTGGAGAGAAACATTGAGGAGAGAACATTGATTGGCTGCCTCCCGCATGCCAACCCGGGCATGTGTCCTGACCAGAAATCGAATTGGCTACCTCTTGATGCACGGGTTGACGCTCAACCACTGAGCCACATGGGCCAGACTACAAATTATCATTTGATAATAAAGACAAAACAAGGACATTTCCCAACAAATCTTGGAAAGTTTCTCTCCAAAGAGGATTACCAGAAGGTATTCTCCAGCATAAAGAAAAATAAACTGAGTGGAGAATAGTAGGATGTAAGAGACAATACTAAGGAAAGAAATCCGTAAATCTTGATAATTCTAAATATTGTTTTAAAATATTTTAAATTGGAATGTATAATTAAAATTCCAGATACTATCAACATGGGAGGAATGGAGCAAGAAAAAATGTGGGAGGTTCTCTTCCACCATCTACAGGAAGTATACAAATACAGATTAATTCCAGACATTAGAGAAACATATTATTTGTTGAAAGGGTAACCATTAAAAAATCTAGCTATCTTTTTATGACATATTTTAAAAATATATATCCTAAATTGGAATAATTGCATTAACTCACAAAGATACCACTTATGAACTTAGAGTAGATATAAGTCTAATCAAAATATGTTACCATATAATTGACCTATTTCCCTATGTGAACATGATGCTTCATAGGGTACTGAGCTGAGAGAAACAACCTTCAGTTGTTCTGTGGACAAAATGTCAAAAGGCATTTCTGCACCTTTATAAGTCAAACTATTAATGTACTTTTAGTTTCTAATTGGCTTTTGAGTAAATATTTATTTCCCATTTTTCTTTACATTCTCTATTACAAAAGTATTTAAAATCAAGAGCATATGGGGAAATAAAATGAGTAATAATGTATTAACTAATCCATTCAATATAAATACCTGGGTTGCTATACCTACTTCAATTCTTTTTAAAGGAAAGATACAGCTATGAACTTATTTCCAATTAATTAAACCAAGAATAGAATTTTACCCTTGGTATAAAAGATATAGCAGAAGAAGGGTTAAATAAGTTAAGATATATCACAACTTTACACTCTGCAAATGTTCAGAGGAAATGTTTGTAAAAGATAACAGTTCTTTTCATTTATACCTACCTTATTTCAGACCATCACTTTGAATACTAACATGTTCAGAAACCTCAAAATAAAAAAATCATACCATATGTCCTTCGGCTCGAGCTTTATTCTGCCTGGCTTCCCATTTTCGCTGTAGGAACTCTTCTACTTGTTTAGCTCTTTCCATTGCTAGCTGCCCCCTTTGCCTGAATAATGCAGACAAATGGCAAAGTCAGAAATTCGGAACATTAAATATTCCATAAAGTTAAAATTATTCTAAATATTTTCTTTGTATATGAAGAAAGGCTGATATGAAATAAAACCTTCCTCTGTAATGATGAAATACCTACATATATATTAGTAACTACTATTTAAATCAAATTATTGTTCTAAATAGAAGTAAAATCTATACTGCTCCTTAACAAGGTTACTCTTACATTTATTAAATCTATTCTACTTATAGACATATAAATTATTTTAGACTATACTTAATTACAGAAGAATTTCAATAGCTTCCAAGTAGTTAAGCTTATTTCAAAACTCAGTATAAAATATATCTAAGATCTTTCTTTAATCAGTATTAAAGTGAAATTAAAGCAGTATAGTAGCAATTTCAAAAATGAAGGAAAAGAATAAAAATTTTATTTGTGTGAAATCTCAAAAATATAGTAAAAAGCAAGGCCTATTTGTTTTAATCTTTTCCAATTTTATTTCTATATCTTTCTCTGACGATTACTGAAGAATGTAAACATGTTGAGTCTAGACTATAAATAACAAATACCAATAACAAACATTTCTTAAACATCAAATATATATATAGTGACTATTACCATGCTAAGATAGGAGACAAATATAAATACAACCCAGCCCCAGTAATCATAGAACTCATATAATATCAACTCCAGTTAATTCTGGAGGAACAAAGATGAACAAGTTATTGCCTATGCTTCTACTTGGATATTGGCTACTAAAGCATACAAAATTCCTACAGCCTTTCTATAGGACCATAACTAAGTCATTCTCTGAAAAATACATGCAATAATGTCTTTTCTGTCTTCCAACAGGTTTGAACACTTTTAATTTTTATGTACCAAATAATCATTTCTTTTACACGTTTTGTTAACTACTAACTGAAACATAAAAATATTTTAGAAAGAAAATCAAGCTGTTGAAACTTAAAATCTGTTCCAGTACAAAATTATGAATGAGCATGCTCTAAAGTTCATTTACCTTATGTGGTGCTTAAAACAGATTCTTGTGAAATTTCCATGATTGGAATTTTCTAGAATTAGATAATCTCTAAAGCTGGTTAAGAGCCTTTTATTATGACTTTCAGATATGTCTAGGTAGCTAAATTTTAATCTAGTCCCACATTACCAAATTCAGAAATACACTCCACTCAAGTCATGATAGTCTGAGATTAAGAATAAAGAAGGAGAAATGTGTTTATGCCTCTGTAGTGCACATGTGCTATCCTCTATCAGTCATACTCTGCACTGTATAGCTCTGAGATTAATAAGGTACATCTGGTCTGGATGCAACATATGTCCTTCATATATCCAGGCAAGGCTGTATCCTGGCTGCTATAGCCCCATTTATATAAAGCTGGGCCTGGAAAGGGCAGACAAAATTTCAGAGGTTATGATGCTCAGACACGTCTACTGAAATTATAGGTCTACTGTTAAAGCTCTTTTGGAAAACTTACATCACCATCTGTAATTAGATAAAATTTCTAATCTCTCTGTTGTGTGTCCTGATTGCATCAACTTCCTTTTTTAATCTTTACAGAAGTAAAATGTGTTTGATTTTCCATCCTAAGATACTATGCCTAGTGTTTGTCAGCCTGAACCTCCAATTGACATATGTCAATACAACAGTTGCACAGAATTATTTTGCTTAAAATCTGGTCATATGTATTATAGCTTTGATTGATAGACTTTTCACACTGCTTATATTTATATACTACCTGCTGTATTTATTTATATGCTTCACTAAATAGTCTTCTCCTAAACTGACTTAAATAAGCAGGTTTACATAACTGTCTGCTTTCAATCACAAACTCAAAACCTGTAGTGATCTTTGCTTAACACTAATTCTTTTTTCCCTGTAATTTATTAAATACTTATTAAGAGTCAGCAATTTGTCAATATTATGCTTGCCTTTGAAAATATAAAGATGTAAAACAGAGTTCCAGGAATGCAAAGTTGGTTCAACATGCTAAAATCAATCAGAATAATACATCTTATTAATAAAGATTCAATTTATCTTTCTCATGCATTTCTGCTTGCTACTTCATATATACAAAAAAAAAAAAAAGAACCCATACTCATATTTTTATTCCTCTCCAAAATAAAACTGTGCTACACTGTGGGTACAAACTATATGGGTGCTAGGCTCATGGGGATAAAGAGGAAACAGTCAATTTACTTATTAAGAGGTATTCTTTTCATTAAACATTACTAAGAATTCATATGTGCATACTCTATTTTAGACCAATTAAATAGTCTATCTTTTGTGTTTCAAAATTATACCACTTTAAATCAGTAAAACATTAATCTACATTAATAATAAAGGAATGAGAATATAAACCTATATAAGCTACAAATATATAGTAAGAAATTAAGAATTTGGAAAGTAAAATACAGACATTAAAATAGGCTAAAATTATTCTAAAACAAACTTCTTTTTTCATCTTGTCACAAGAAAAAAAAAAGGAGTAAGTTATTTTCTCTCCTTTTCTTTTTTTATTATTATTATTTTTTTTTATCCTCACCCGAGGACATTTTTCCATTTTTTGTTCAGGTAGAGTGGGAGGCAGAGAGAGGAACAGAGAGAGAGAAACATCGATGTGAAAGGAACACATCGAGTGGCTGCCACCCACACGACCGACCAGGGCCGGGGACAAACTGCAACCGAGGTACATGCCTAGCGGGAACCGAACCCGGGTCTCTCGGGACCACAGGCCGACGCTCTAACCGCTGAGCCAAACCGGCCAGGGTTTTTCTCCTTTTCTTATTACAAATACATGAATCAATGGCAAGATCTGGGTAAGGTACCTAATATCCATGGCTCAAATTCTTTTCTGAGAAAAATTTAAAATTTTTGAAGGCTGACTAAAAATGTATTGTTTTATGAGATAAAGACAACATAAAAATAGGCAGAAATCTAGGTAGCAGAAATAATGGGAAATGAAAAATGAGTCAATATGGTTTAAGACAGAGGAACTAGGGTAGTATAGGGTTAATAAGATGAAAAGAAGGATATAGAGTTTATTCATTAAGCTTCCTCCTCTGTTTAAGTGGCATAATGTCTACCTGATAAAATAGAACTGTAGTCAGCTTTACTCAAATTAAATAAAGCAATACAGAGGAAAAGACTTGGAAAAGTAAAAGCACTGTAAAACACAAGTTAAGAGGTACCCAATATAATAGTTTTCTTACTAATGGTCTTACATGGCTGAGTTTCCAATATTAAAATGCTAACAATGTAAGTTGATCAGATGTAACAAATGTACCACTCCGGTGGGGATGTTGATAATGGGGAAGGCTATGTGGACAGGGATAATATATGGGAAAGCTCTGAATCTTCTCCCTCAAGTCTGCTGTGAACCTAAACCTGTTCGAAAAGATAGTCTTAAAAAAAAAAAAAAAAAGCTAATTGAAGAAGTGTTTAGAAATTGATATAAGCATTAAGTTGAACCGGCCAAAGTTACTGTTAAGGGAAGAGCAAAAAGAATTCCATAAATAAGGAATGGTATTTATGGGCGATCTGAACTAAAAGAAAAAAAGAATGTGAAGTCTTAGATGACTAGATGTGTTTGCTGATTCCGTTAGAATCAGGGAAAAGAACTGATGAGGAGTGACAGTGACATACAGATTACAGTCATCCTTTGGTTTCCATGGGAGATTGGTTCCAGACCTCTCCCTTCCCTGCAGGTACTGAAATCCCCAGATGCTTAAATCCCTTATATCAAATGGTGTGAAACAATGCACAAAGCCAGCCCTATGCATATGTGAATTCCCAACCACAGATGGAAAAATACTGTTTTTGATCAAAGGTTGGGTGAATGTACAGTTGCAAAACCTGGGGATGCAGAGGGCCAACTTGTAAATGCATTGAAAAAAATCCCATGTTTAAGTGGACCTGCACAGTTCAAACCTGTGTTGTTTAAGGATCAACTGTTTACTAATAGTATCTCAAGAAGCTGAGAAATGTTTATAACAATGTTTACGGAGCTGAAGTCTCCAGCCAGATAGACTTGGTTTAAATGCCAACTGACACTTACTAGCTACCTGATTATGCACAAGTTTCAAATCTCTGTAAGTACTAATTCTTCATCTTTAAGATCTAATTCAAAAGGTTGCTGTGATGAGTGAATACAACTTGGTATATAATAATTGTTCCATAAATAATATATATTGTCAAGAATAATGCCAATGCAACAGAAAAAAAAAGTATATGTTTGAGTACAGCTAAGCCCACCAAAGTTGATACAAATAAAATGATAAATAAACCTACAACCAATAATGATTTAAAAAATGAAAAATTAAAATGTTGAAACTATATCTGATGCTAAAAAAAAAAGACTGAATGGAAGGTATGGCATCATGGAAGAGGTAACTGAGATACACAGCCATTTAAGAATATTTGAAACTTTCCCTGGCTGGTTTGGCTCAGTGGTTGGAGTGTCGCCCTGCAGACCAAAGAGTTGAGGGTTCAATTCCAGTAAAGGGCATGTACCTTGGTTGCAGTTCGATCCCTGGCCTTGGTCAGGGTCCTGCAGGAGGCAACCAATCAATGTGTCTCTCTCACATCGATGTTTGTTTCTCGTCTCACTCCTTCCCTTCCTTTCACTCTCGCTCTCTCCCTCCCTCCCACTATCTGAAAAAAAAAAAAAAGAAAGAAAAAATATGCTCAGGTGAGGATTAAAAAAAAAAGAATATCTGACACTCAAGTATAAATATAGGGGTGGGAAAAAGTAGGTTTACAGTTGTTCATATGAAAAAAGGCATGCAAGTTCCGATAATTAACCGTTTCCCAAACTTACAACTGTAAACCTACTTTTGCCCAACCCTGTACATGTAAACATTTCAAGGTTATAACAGGAGATTGATGCAAATGGCCCAATGTAGCCCATTATTTGTCATTATATTTATGTTTTAGAGAAAGAGGAAGGGAGAGAGAAATAGGAACATTAATGTGACAGAGAAACATTGATCGGCTGCCTCCTGCATGCCTGCTACTAGGGATCAAGCACACAAACCGGGCATGTGCCCTGACCAGTAATAGAACTGAGACCTCTCAGGCCATGAGAAGATGCTCAAAACACTGAGCCACACTGGCTAGGCTGTCATTTTATTTTATTTAACTTTTTTTTCTTTATTGATTTTTATTGATAGAGTAAGGGAGATGGAGAGAGAATTAGAAACATCAATGACAGAGAACATCAATTGGCCACCTCCTGCATGCCCCCCCTGGGAATTAGGTCCACAACCTGGGCATGTGCCCTGACCAGGAATCAAACCAATTTCCTCTTGGTGTATGGGTTGGTGCTCAATCAGTGAGCCACACTGGTAGGGCTTATTTTATTTTATTGTTAATCCTCGCCTGATACTTTTCCATTGATTTTTACATAGAGTGGAAGGGAGGGGCAGGGGGAGAGAGAGAGAGGAGGGGAGGGAGAGAGAGAGAGAGAAAGAGAGAGAGAGAGAGACATCGATGTGAGAGAGACACACTGATTAGTTGCCTCCCGCACAACTGCGACCAGGGCCAGGGATTGAACCTGCAACCCAGCTATGTGCCCTACTGGAATCGAATCCATGATCCTTTGGTCCTTGGGCCAATGCTCTAACCACAAAGCAAAAACTGCCAGGGCTATTTGTTATTTTACTGTGAAGAACCAAGAAACATTCTGGAAGATAAACAGCGTAAAAAAGCATAACATAGTTTTCCCTATTTTCTTTACACTATACATACTTATTTTAGGAAGATATGATTAAAAGAAAACAAAACAGCCCTGGCCGGTTTGGCTCAGCGGTTATAGCATTGGCCCCATGGATCAATGAGTCACAGGTTTGATTCCAGTCAAGGGCACATACCTTGGTTGTGGTTCATCCTCAGCCCTGGTGGGGTCGTGCAATAGGCAACCAGTAGATATGCCTCTCTCACATCGATGTTTTTCTTTCTCTCCCTCTCTTTCCCTCCCACTCTATCTGAACAAAAATGGAAAAATATCCTCAGGTGAGGATTTATTTTTTTGTTTTGTCTTGTTTTTATATCTAGAGGGGTTTTATTGTCTTCTATATTAAAAGAAAAAAAAAAACCAAGAACAAAATAAAGCCAAAGCTGTTATACACTAGAACGAGCAATACCACCAGAGGATAAAATCCACACATAAAATTTGCTTGGCCATCTCATTAAAAATATACATTTATATATGAGTCTTTATAGCCTTCCTCTCTCAAAAATGGAGAATCTACAATTAGCTTATCACTTCAGGCTTCTGTATATAACTCATAATGTTAATTTATATTCACCTCAATTATTTACCTCTGCTCAACTACCTTTTAATCATCTCTTCTAATTAGAGGATCATAAAGGTTTTTATTATACTCAAAAATATTCTCCTTAAGATGACAAGGAGAAGGCAATGTACCCTAATTTTCACTAAATGATATTCTGAAAACCAAAATGTTTTATAAAAGAAATAGGAATGTCAAAGAAAACATGTGTGCACACTTAAGAAAAAAGGAACTATATAAATTAAAACTACTCACTGCTACCATATTAAATTAATTCAATGGAAGTAAAGAAAGAATATGATAAACAAGATCATAGCCATAAATCACAAATGAATGTGAAAAGAAAACAAGTCAAAACAACAAAGAGAAAAGTGGAGTTCTAAGTGATGAGGAAAAGAAAGACAAAAAATAGCATGCTTTGTAGTTTTGCATAAAGTGTGATTCCATTTAAATATATTCTGATTTATTTAAAGCAAGTGGATGAAGTGATTACAACCATATGTTAGCTCAAAGTTATCACATGTTCCTTTAAATAGTACATTCAGCCTATAACATATACATAAGCTATAAAAATTAGGCTGAGTTGATGAGCTACATGTTTGCCTAATCAAAGGCCAAATTTGTACCTGAGAAAATTACTGCACTCAGAAGGCAAAAATAGTCAATGAAATCAATGGAGAAAACATTCACAAAGTATAGATACTAAGCTAGACCTGACATAAGACAAAATTACACACAAGGATGAATTTATGAATTATCTTAGTCTAACCTGTTTGCATTGGCTTGTTTAGACACTGCCTCCAATCTCTTTGAAGTTTTTCTAATAGCATCAGCATTAGAGAAATAGTGATGAACTACAGCCCAATTGGGAAATCCTGGATGTACTCCAGGTGACATTCCTTTGTAGGTAAATATGCACAATGACTTTTATTACTTTCTCTGAAGCAAAGCATAAGCAACTTGTACAGAACATAGCCCTACCTTTCTGGAAGCCTTCGGCCATGAATTTGTCCTTTCCATTTAGCTTCATTATCTTCTGCTCTTTGTTGCTGCATTTGATCAAAAATAGCATGATAGTGTTCATATGGTCCTCGAGAAGAAAAAGATGGTGAAGCCGCAGCCCCTCCACTGCCAAAAAAGGTAGCCTAGGAATGAAAATAAAAAGAGCTCTCACATGTTTATTTCATGCCTAAAATGCCTATACTATTCTCAAAAGAAAAAAAATTTCAACACTTGACTTTTAAAAAGCAATTTGAAAATATTAATAAACATATAGCCTAAAGGAAAATGTCTTCCTACTATTTTATAAACATTAACAATAAAAAAGTAGTATACTTTGTTACTAATGATTAAGTATAATTTAACATAACAAAAATATAAAATGTCACTAAATTCATATAAATATGAAAAAAAATCTGGTCTTAATTAACAGGTTTGAAACAAGATTCTAGTATACATTTTATGTGATCCTATTCTATTAAGTTTAAATACGTATAGCTTATAAGTAAAGCAGAGCTTGCTTTTGTAACACTCAAAATTATATTTAACAAAAACATTTGCATATGGTATTTAGCATACCCCAAATTCTTCCATTCAACAAGCAATGAAGATATAAACACCACTGAAACATTCTCTAGGTATAAATAAAAGAAGCAAAACATCATATCCGTCCCTAAACACAAAACTAGAACAACATTTCATGCCTGTGGCAAATGAATGGTATTAGGCACACTCTAAAGCAGTAGGTACTGAGCAAATTCACAAAAAAGAAAAAAAAATTGTCAGAAGTAAAAATCCCTAAAAATTAAAGAAAAAACACTGGAAAAATATATTGTTCAACCCAGCCTGGAAAGCAATGTAAGAAAGAAAGAAAGAAAGAAAGAAAGAAAGAAAGAAAGAAAGAAAGAAAGAAAGAAAGAAAGAAAGAAAGAAAGAAAGATTGATTAAATATGAGCATATGAGCCAGGGTATTAAAGCACAAATAAGCAATATATATATATTTGGGTGTTGCCTGTAGTGGGAGGAATTAAGAAGACAAACATAATTAGAAGGAAGGCAAACAGAGAGCATTAAGCTTGGTCATGAAGAGTTGGTGTGCCTACCTATTATCAAACCTGGGTGTTTGAGTTCATATAATAAACAACAAGAGAATGCATTTATAAAAACTTTCTAATAGGGTAGCATACAAAAACAGTTTTTAAGAAGTTCAGTAAGTCAAATTATGCATGATAAGCAGGAATAAGAGCTAGAACAAGGTTGAGGACTAATTAGAAGGCTTGTTACCCTGACACCAAGCCAAGAGGCCTAGAAATAAAGGAAATCAATTAAAAAGTAAATACTTTTAAGGGAGTTCTGGATTCTTTGTGGGAATGACAAAGGATAAAGGCAAAAAACATAAGGAAGCTACCTCTGACACCCAAGCACATAGAAAACTCATAGTTAGAAAATAGAGATATCAGAAACGGGTTAGAGTTAAAAAGAAATGTGTATATAATGTTACAGAAGTCATAGTGGAAAAGTTCACTGAGATGAGGAAATCAGTGACCTCAAATGCAGAAGTCGCGAGCACTAAAAAGACAAAATGCTATGACTGAAGTTGAGTGGCAATATTTTTAAAAAACACATTTTTTTTGTGATGTGATGAGAACAGAATCCAGAATACTGACAGTAAAGGAAAAAGAGCTTCTAGGTGGTAACATCTTAAGGAAGAGGTCTGGTTAGGAAAAGATACAAATAGAAATATTAGAATCAAATAAAAGTAACTTCAGTGTGCCCAACGAGATAGAATTAGGTTGCATATGCTATTATAAGAAAGTGTAGTTTTTAAAACTATCAGCTCAAGATAAACACAGATAACGGATTAAAGATATTTGAATATCAACAGATCAAACTTGCTAGAAATAGGTAAGATAACTAGACAGGAAACTCCATCCAGGTGTCCCTCACACACATCTCCAAAGTGCAGATCTCAAGGCAAGAATCAGAATGCTGGTAACAGGTAAGCACATCTCCCATGACAGTGTTTATGCTTTGAGTTTAGTCTGGTGCTAATATCATCTTAACTTGACTTTGAGTATTTTAATGTTTTCCTTTAACAAAGTATGAAAACATAAAAATGTAAACATCTCTGAAGATTCCCATACTCAAAATAATGTTGAAAATACTATACTAGAATTCTGAAGCAATACAATCTTTTAAAAATCACTAATTCACCAAATATATACATAGGTTGATGAATTTTGACAAATGTATCCATGAGTGCAGACACTACCACTATCAAAAGCATATCCAGCCCTGGCCAGTTTGGCTCAGCGGTTAGAGAATTGGCCTGCGATCCAGAGAGACCCAGGTTCGGTTCCCACTAAGGGCATGTACCTCGGTGCAGTTTGTCCCCGGCCCTGGTTGGGTTGTGCGGGTGGCAGCCACTCAATGTGTCCCTTTCACGTCGATGTTTCTCTCTCTCTCCCCCTCTCACTCTATCTGAACAAAAAATGAAAAAATGTCCTCGGGTGAGTATAAGAAAAAAAAAAAAGCATATCCATTTCCCCAGCAAGTCCCCTCATTTCCTTTGAAGCCAATAACTACTCCAGCAACTACTAATCTGCTCTGTAATATAAATTAGAGTTGCCATTTCTATAATTTCATATAAATGGAATCATGCAATGTGTACTCCTATGTCTGGCTTCTTTTACTCAGTATAATGTTTTGATTGTTCCATGTTGTTGCATGTATTAATAGCCTACTCCTTTTTTATTGCTGAATAGTATTCCAATATATTTTCAAACAACAGATAACACCTTTTACATATTATGATTACCACACGATCAAACTACATATGTGGACTATTTCATAATTTTTCTAAAAACACATTCATAAGAGATACATCAAAAATGGATAAAGCAACAATGTCCCAAATTTTGCAGATATTAAATAATCAAAGATAGTTGTTATTTATACTGTGAATAACGTCTTAGAGGTATATAATAATAATGTTAATTTTGAAATACTATCCTTAATATTTAGTTTTTGTTTCATCTTTATTTTGGGGGTTTCCTTAATTTGATTCACATTATATTGAGCCTCCAGGTACTTATCAACCGTTCAGAAATCAAATAGTCTAAGTCCGACTGGTGTGGCTCAGTGTCTGAGCACTGATCCATGCACCAGGAGGTCATTGGTTCGATTGCCAGTCAGGACACATGCCCAGGTTGTGGGCCCAATCCGCAGTGGGGGGCATGCAGGAGGTAGCCAATCGATGTTCTCTCTCATTGATGTTTCTCTCTCACCCCCTCTCACTTCCTCTCTCTCTAAAATCAATAAAAGGGGGGGATCAAATAGCCTAAGGAGTTAAATATTTCGATCCCCATGGGGAATAAGCACAGAAACTAACATAGAATTAGAGTCATGAGAAATGTTGTTAGGGCAAATAAATTACTTTATTAATGATCAATGACAGCATTATGGCATTTATAAAGTGAAGCAGAAATCTGTTCAGTACGTACTATCTAACTGTGGGAAAATTGTCTCAATTAGTCATCAAACAACACTGGTAAAACTGGACTTTAGGATTAAATACAGATTTAGACATCACAATGAAAAAATATATTTTGTTGCATAGAAGAAGACATACAAAAAAGAAGAAAAATAATCAAATTCTCAACATTAATTATGGACTTGATATATAATGCATGACAATATCTGGGGGCCTATACTTTGGTAAGTTTTTACTTTCCAATCAGAGAAGATAGGAGGTTAGTTATTTTAGAATGGTTCAAATTCTGAGTCATTCCTTATCATTCAGGAGGTAATAAGCTGTACTTCATAGTAAAGTAGATAATACAATACAAAAATAATAAAGTAAAAAAAATTTTTTTTTTTTGGTATGTGCCTCTAGCAGGAACTGAACCCGGGACTCTCTGGTCTACAGGCTGATGCTCCAACCGCTGAGACAAACCTGCCAGGGCCCAAAGTAAAAATTTTAAGTAAAATTGTGTTACTACAGATTGTATAAGTCTATACTAATACAAAGTTAGAAAAAGTGACTCTTACTGTATTACTCATACGTAATATAAAAAAACTTGTGTATCTCAAAAGGCTGAAAAACAAATCAAGAAAGCTAGGACAGAACATATATGTCTGCATAAAACAGACAAAGCAAACTATTATTAGTATCATAACTTCTGAAGAAAAGAAATAAGTAAGAATGGCAATCACTTCAACTTGAAAAACATCTATCTAGCACCTAAATACCAAGTTTAATAAGCTTGGATCAGGGGAATTCAAAGTTTAAAGATGTTAACTAGATGATACAAATTAAAATTACAATACAGAGGAATAATAATGTGTTCATGTTCACTGCTGTGACCACAATGACCACAAACAAATGTTCACAAACTTAACAACTTAAAACAATATCCATGTATTATCTCACTGTTTCCCTGGCTTAGAAGTCTGGGTACGGTTACCTGGGTATTCTGATTAGGATTTCACCAGGCAGAAATCAAGGTGTCAGGCAGAGCTGCAATTCTCATTTGAGGCTTGGGTCCTTTTCCAGGCTCGCTGGTTCTTGGCAGAATTATGTTCTTGTAGATGTAACAGTTAAGGTCACCCTTTTCTTGCTAGTTGTTGGCCAGAGACCACTACCAACTCCAAGAGACAATCTAACTTCCTTGCTGTGTAAAAGCTTGCTTTTTTCCAGGATAGCAGAAGCATATCTCTAACTTTATTCTCTCTTTCCAGGCTGCCATGAGGGAATCTTATAAAATGTTAACGTAATCACAGGAGTGACTATCAATTAGCCCATCACCACTGCCATAAGATAAAACCTAATTAAGGGGCTGCTCTGCCACCACAGTCACAAGTTCCACCAATACTCAAGGGGAGGAAAAATACAAGGTGTGCACACCAAGGGTTAGACATTTTGGGGGTCATCTTAGATTTCCGTCTACGAAGATATGTAAAGGATGCTACAAGAACAAAGAGGAAATGCAATGTAAAGATTGGCAGAACAGAGAAAGAAGCAGGACATTATCATGAGACCTTTCTAGCCAAGCTCCAGGCACTGTTCTTGAAAAAAAAAAAAAGAAACAAAAAAACCCCACTTTTTTAAAATGAAGTATTTGAGACTCATAAAACTTAAGTAATTTACATAAAGTTATATAGTCTGGATCTATCCAAAGAAAATGTTTGAATTAACAGGTCTAGGCAAACTGTTAGCTAGTAACTGGTTATTTAATAACTAATGAATGGATAGCTACGTAGTTGGTTATTTAAGGCTGGAGGTGGGAGTGAGAGTAAGGAGGTGGGCAAATAAAGAGAAACATACATGCAAAGACAAAATTCAGGAGACTACACACAGTGAGGAAATGACAGGGGTGGTCTTCAGTTGGGCATGACTAGAGCACACCGTGTGTGGGAGGGAGTGGGTAGAGACAGGCCTAGAGAGACTGGTGGGGGCCAGATTAATACAGGTCTCCTGAAAACTCAATCTTTGAGGCTACATGAAGCTACAGAGGTTTAAGGCAAAGGTGTGACATATTGTATTTGATGTTACTTCCTATGGCAGAAATAGTGTATCACAGCCTTAAATCAAACTTTTAAAGCAATTTTAACGAGTGTCACATGTTAGTTATCCACACAAGTTATGTATCAAATAAGTGCAGAAAAACCAAGAATTTATAATAGATGCTGAAGAATTCTTAATAAAACGTAAATGTAGACCAGAAAAAAGCCAATTAAATACAGTTTAAAGCGCAAGGTGAAACTAGAAAAAACGTGGCAGCAGTATAACCATATTGGTATCAAATGCCTACCTTTACTTCACCACCTCCTCCAGCACTTAGCACGTTTCTCCATCCTTGTTCCCTGGCCCTATTTATTCTCTCCAACTTTCAAGAAAAAGAAACAAACAAACAAAACACCATTTCAAGTATTTAATATAAAATATGTAAAATACATTTAGTAATGAAATGGAAATCAGTGTTCTTCCTTTAAAAAAAAAAAGTGTCTGTGGGGAGAGTGGAATACGCCATGGAAAGATGAGTTATCCTCTTACCCTTTCCTTTTCTTGCCTTTTCATCTGTTCAGCCTTCATTAAACTAATCTGTAACATTTTTAAAGACAAACTTCTTAGAACTCTTGACACTATTATGATCTCCAGCTTGGCAAGGGAAGAAATATAAGAGCAAAAAAACTACCTGATCTTTTTGTTTCTTTGCTTTATCAATAAATTCCAACCTTCTCTTTCTTGTTGCATCCTTAAATAAAAAAAGAACACTTTTATCAATAATTATTTTTACCTTTCTAGTTTCATCAGGAAAGTTAGCACACCAATGGTAGAGGTATGCCCAGGGAGGTATTAAAAAGCAAAACAAAACAAAACAAAAAGATACATGTTAAAGATTTTTTTTTTTTTTTAAAGAAATAAGGAGGAAAGGTTTGGAGGTTTTCTATAGCTTTTGTTTCTTATAATTATTTTTGCAAAGCTTTAAAATAAGCAGACAGATGTCTTTATACCTCAAACATTTTCCTCCTTTCTTCTCCAGGATTCACTTTCTTCAATGGAGTTTGATGGGCCTGGACAAAAAGTAAAACTACAAATTAGATTAAGGATTTGTTATCTGCATTTGTTTTCTATATTGATATACTTAAAGAACACTAGCCTTCAAGCTCTGCTTAAAAGTAACCCACAATAAGAAATATATTTCACATCCAAACCCAGTAAAGACACACACACACTCCCAAAGGTTCATAAAATACCTTTACTGTGTTTAGTAGATTCTGTTTTCATTCTATCAGTTTTTAAAAAGTCCCTGCTCTGCCCTGGTTGGTGCTGCTCAGTGGTTAGAGCATCAGTCTCTGCACCAAAGGGTCTTGGGTTTGATTCCCAGTCAAGGGCATGGAGTACCTGGGTTTCAGGTTCGATCCCTGGGCCCAGTAGGGGTGCGTGTAGGAGGCAACCAATTGAAGTGTCTCTCTCACATCGTTGTCTTTCTCTCTCTCTCTTCCCCTTCCTCCCTCCCTTCCACTCTCTCTTAAAAGCAATGGAAAAAAATATCCTCTGGTGAGGATTAACCAACTTAATTAATCAATTAATTAAATTAATTAATTAAAAAGTCCCTGCTCTTCATCCACTACAATAATTTTTCCACCACTAATAAAGAGCAACTCACAGTTTAAAATAGTCAAGACGGCCCTGGTCGCTTTTGCTCAGTGGTTAGAGCGTTGGCCCAAGGACCAGTCTCAGGTTCGATTCTAGTCAAGGACATGCGTCTCGGTTGTGGTTTGGTTCCTGGCCCTGGTCGGGGTCATTTGGGAGGCAACCAATCGGTGTCTCTCTCTTACATCAATGTCTCTCTCTCTCTCTTTTTCCCTCCCTCCCACTCTGTCTGAAGATAAAAGGAAAAGTATGCTTGGGTGAGGATTAAAAAAAACAGTCAAGAGAGAGCTCTGGGGGCACTATTACTGAAGTACAAGGGAACATAACAGAACTGTAGATATTGCTCTTCATAGTATTACAAACACACAGTTGACAGTTCATAGTATGTTCTATGTATATAAATTTAAACTAGTGGGGAATGTTAGCCAGAAGCTTTGTAAAAATACGTATTCCTTCCATACAAAGGATATTATTTGGCAATAAAAAAGAATAAAGTACTGATACATGCTAAAACACGGATATATGATATCACCTTGTAAACATTACGCTAAGTAAAAAAAAAGCTAATCACGAAAGACCACATATTGTATGATTCCAATTATATAAACTATCCAGGATAAGCAAATCTATATAGAGACAGAAGGAGATTAGTGGTTCCCTAGGGGTATGGGGGTGGGGGACAAATGGGGAATGAATGCTAATGGGAAAAAGACTGGAGTGGGTGTGATAAAAATGTTCTAAAATTGAATGTGGTGATGGTTGCACAACACAATACACTAAAAACCATTTAATTCCAAACTTTAAATGGATAAATTGTATGCATGTGAATTATATCACAATGAAACTATTTTTTAAAAATGCCTATCCCCAAAAGTTGCTATATCATAATTTCTGGACCTGGAGGCCTACATTGTGTATTTTGACAGGTTACACAGGTAACTCCTATGTAGCAGCTCTAGCACCAGTGTCAAAATTTGTGAACCATAACACCAAACAATTTATAAAAATATTAATGTATTACAGATTCTTATTATAAATGATCAGCTTTTAAATCAATTACATAATAATGCAGAACAAGAAGAGAATGCTTAAATAAGACACCTACATACTCTTAGTTAAGTTATATGAAGTCATAAATTATATTCACCTTTTTATGTTCTACGTTGCCTTACATATAAGATACTTAAATATTTGTAAAGTACAAATATCAAAGTGTTTCTCTGAGATCACAGAGGTATTTTCAGAACACTACGTCTACACAGAAGAGAAAAATATGGTAACATAAGACATTCATACACAGAGAAATGTTTTGTGTTTCTTTTTAAAAATCCCAGCCAAAATAACTGAAACTTATTCACGGAGCGCCCTCTGGTGGCTTACTAACCACTCCTTTGTTTTAACAGAAGTCTAAAAAATAACTGATTATTACAGGAACTGAAGCAAAGAAAGTTTTACATGTAAGTATTTTATAATATGCTGAGTAATAATAACAATACAAATTAGCTTAAATTTTGTAATTAAAATAAAATGAAAGATAATATCATTAAGCGGTATGGTTTTCCATCTCTAAGCTTGATAGAAAGCTAAGTTAAAAAATCTAAATCATAGCAGGGGGCTTCAACACCCCACTGACATCACTGTATAGATCCTCTAGACAAAAAATTAGCAAGGATACAGAGGCTCTAAATGAGGCACTAGGTCAAATGGATTGAATAGATATCTATAGAGAATTATATCCCAAAACTGAGGAATTCACATTCTTCTCAAGTGCACATGGGACATTCTCAAAGATAGACCACATGTTAGGACACAAACTAAGTCTCTACGAGTTCAAAAAGATTGAAATCATATCAAGCATCTTCTCAGATCACAATGGCATGAAACTAGAAATCAATTATAGCAAAATCATTTAAACACATGGAGGCTAAATAGCATATTATTAAACCAAGGAGATCAAGGAAGAATTTGAAAACTTCCTGGAAACCAATGAAAATGAACACACTACAACAAAAAAATCTACGGGACTCAGCAAAAACAGTCCTGAGAGGGAAGTTCATAGTACTACAGGCCTACCTCAGGAAACAGAAAAATTTCTAATTGAATATGCAATGTCTCAACTTTAAGAACTAGAAAGCAAACAAAAGGAAAAGGCACATCAAGTAGAAGGAAAGAAATAGTAAAGATCAGAGCAGAAACAAATGACATAGAGACTAAAAACACGATTCAAAAAAGCAATGAAACAAAGAGCTGGTTCTTTGAAAAGATAAACAAGACTGATGGACCCTTAGCTAGACTCACCAAGAAACAAACAGAGAGGACCCATGTAAAATCAGAAATAAAAGAGGAGAAGTAACAACTGACACCACAGAAATACAAAGGATCGTTAACAAATATTATGAATAATTATATGCCAACAAATTGAACAATCAAGGTGAAATGAACAAATTTCTAGAAACACACAGTTTCCCAAAATTGAACTGAGAAGAGATAGAAAATTTGAAGAGACCAATAACAACTAAGGAAATTGAAGATGTAATCAAGTATCTCCCAGCAAACAAAAGCCCAGGCCTGGATGGCTTCGTGGGGGAGTTTAACCAAACATTCAAAGAAGAACACCCATTCTCCTCAAACTATTCCAAAAAATTCAAGAAGAAGGAAGACTTCTAAACTCATTTTATGAGGCAAGCATAATTCTAATTCCAAAACCAGATAAAGATACTACAAAGAAAGAAAACTACAGGCCAATATCCCTGATGAACATAGATGCCAAAATCCTTAACACAATATTAGCAAATTGGATCCAACAATACATTAAAAAAATTACTCACCATGACTAAGTGGGATTCATCCTAGGGATGCAAGGCTGGTACAATCTTTGCAATTCAATAAATGTGATACACCACATAAACAAAATGAAAGATAAAAACCATATGATCATATCAATAGATGCTGAAAAAGCATTCAACAAAATCCAGCACCCATTTCTGATAAAAACATTCAGCAATGTGGGAATAGAGGGATCATATCTTGACATAATAAAGTTCATATATGAAAAACCTACAGCCAACACTCAATGGGCAAAAAAAAAGGCACTTTCCTTAACAGAACAAGACAGGGATGCCAAATTTCACAACTCTCATTTAACATAGTATTGGAAGTCTTAGCCACAGCAATTAGACATGAAGAAAAAATAAGAGGGATCCAACTTGTAAAGGAGGAAGTGAAACTGTCATTATTCGCAGATGACATGATATTGTACATGAAACACTAAAAACTCCTTAAAAAAACTACTAGGATCAATAAACAAATTTGGCAAAGTGGCGGGATACAAAATTAACATCAAGAAATTGACAGCATTCTTATACACCAATAATAAACTCACAGAAAGAGAAACTAAAAAAACAATCCCATTTACCACTGTGGCAAAAAAATTAAGATACCGCCCTGGCCGGTTTTGCTCAACGGTTAGAGCGTCTGCCTGTGGTCCAGAGAGACCCGGGTTTGGTTCTTGCTCAGGGTTGCAGTTTGTCCCCAGCCCTGGTTGGGTTGTGTGAGTGGCAACCACACGATGTGTCCCTTTCACGCTGATGTTTCTCTCTCTCTCCCTCTCTCTCTCTCTCTGTTCCTCTCTCTCCCTCCCACTCTATCTGAACAAAAAAATAAAAAACTGTCCTCTGGTGAGGATAAAAAAAAAAATTTAAGATACCTAGGAATAAACTTAACAAAAGACAGAAAGGACCTATTGCAGAAAACTACAGGACACTGAAAAAAGAAATAGAGGAAGATATAAAAAAGTGGAAGCACATACATTGCTCATGAATTGGAAGAATTAACATCATTAAAATGTCCATATTACCAAAAGCAATGTATAGATTCAATGCAATTCCCAATAAAATACAAATGACATATTTCACAGAACTAGAACAAATACTTCAAAAGTTTATATGAAACCAAAAAAGATGCCGAATAGCCAAAGCAATCTTGAAAAAGAAGAACAAAGTAGGAGGGATCACAATACCGGATATCAGGTTATACTACAAAGCCATTGTAATCAAAAGAGCCTGGTACTGGCACAAGAACAAGCATATAGATCAATGGAACAGAACAGAGAATCCGAAAATAGATCCAAGACATTATGCTCAATTAATATTTGACAAAGGTAGCAAGAGAATACAATGGAGTAAAGATAGACTCTTTAATAAGTGGTGCTGGGAAAATTGGGCAGCTACATGCAAAAAAAAAGAACCTAGACCACCACCTTACACCATACACAAAAATAAACGCAAAATGGATAAAGACTTAAATGTGACTTGTGAATCCATAAAAACCTCAGAAGGAAATGTAGGCAACAAAATTTCAGACATCACATGCAGCAGAATTTTCATTGATACAACACCAAAGGCAAGAGAAACAAACA